CTTTCCTACCAGGCACCGCCGATATGGTAAAATGGAGGCGGTGCCCAACAGGGCGGGTGAGGTTTGGGAGAGAAAAATTGAATTACCACGACACAAGTGGGTGAATTCAATCTCAGTCGATAAACTGCGCATCATTGCCTCGGCGCATCGACAACAACTTTTGACGGTCGAAGGCCGTTCGGCCTTTATTGTCCGTCTGTAACACAATGTAGTCAAAGTGATCGAACAGTGTGCCTGCGGTCTACGTTGGAAAATTAGGGTGAAAAATGTTCGACTGTGCATTCATTCATTCGTTCACAATCCAACGTTTCTCTCACAGTTCCACCACAGATTGATTTTTTATGAAAAACTACTGCATCAAGGATGATCTATCAACTTTCTCCATGGGGGACAAGACACTAGCATCCATCGCTGCCGAAGGTCAGGAAAGACCAATCAAAAGTGACCACCACTATCATCCCGTCTTCATGGTTAGTGTTCACACAAATGTAACAGCAGAATTAAATGATGACAAATTGACGTGAAAAATGTGGTTCGACATTGGAACTTGTCCAGCTGATTCTTGTCATACTGCAGCTGATCCTCTCTGTAAATCCAACATTTCTCTCAGTTCCATCGAAATTGACATTGCTACCCGGTACAGGCCAGTACCAGCGCATGGATGATCTCGATTTTTTCTTCGAGGATGATCTAGTATCGATATCCTCCCTGGGGGACAAGATACTCGCATCCATCGTTACTGAAGATGAACAAAGATCAACCAGAAGTGATTCCGTTGTCGAGGTTCTTGATCATGCTCATGCTAATGCCACAGAAGAATTTTTTGAAGATGACTGGAGCATTTTTTCGGGTGCCATCCCCTTGCCAATTTCAAAGACCAAATCCCATCTCGACCAGAAGCTTCCATCAATCGAAGCGACGATCTACAAGCTCAGAAGCACCATGTTGTGATCTGCTCGGACGCGAGCAGTGGTTTTCAAGAATATCTATCCTGATATGAGGCGAAGAGGTTTCGAACTTCCAGAAAAGAAGAACAAGAGAGACTGACGTTGACTGTGATCAAAGTCAATCGCCCTCTCTACAAGAAGCCAAGCGATTCTCTCCGAACATCGAAGAGGTGCTGACGGGGAGGGCACCGCACCCAAAGGGGCCAGCGCACACCAAAAACAAGCTAGTAGTATGACTCTCATGGCATTCTCGTGGCATCAATTTCTGTAAGCAAACATAAGGATAGGTATAATATGCGAACTATATGCTATTCCTCGCTGTCGGATTCTTACTTCGCTCTTGTTAATATACCAATTCTTAGATGAGGAGACGCCCAGCAACAAGACCGCCACGCCATTGTTCATGCTGTCACTTGAGTATGTTACACTTTGGACTTGAACGAAGCATGAAAGAGACATCTCCAGTATCATTCCCTATGATGTCCGTCAATCAACTTGTAAAAGTTGCATTCCCCAGCATAGGCATAATGTAAGTTTCTAGGGAACAAAAACTCGCTTTCGATGGTTCCGTGACTCAGCAAAACCATCCGTGAAACGTGTCTTACACCGCTCATGTGGCAATTGCGAAGGTGCATTTAAAGCGGGAAACGTCCACAGTTCAAACATTTCATACGACACGCACCGGTATTCTGTAATGTCGACATCAACTGTCCTCGAGCCGAAGAGCAATTCCAAGCAAGCTTTTCATGCTCAACACACACATAACATATCGTTCTTATTATCGCATCATTGATACGCACGAATTGGGCCAGCAGAACATTCCGGTAGAACACTGCAGTTCTACCAGGTGGGTCTCGCAGGACCACTTTTCGAACAAGACCACTTTCGAATTCGAAATGAATCGAATGGCAAATAAAACTTCCCATACCACTCGAAGCTCTGATTACTCATATATATAGGCTGGGAAACGTGTCATACCACGCGATCTCCAGTGAGGCGTGATCCGAAGAACCTTCTATCGCATCGACACCCACAGTAACGGAGCACAAATGCAAGGGTCCCGCTTTATCAATTGTATCGTCTTATCCAAAGCAGAAACAAACAATACTTATTTCGCAATATTAGTGGAACTCTCTTTGAGCCCCAAAATAATTTCATACAAGCTTTTTTTTGAGCCCCAAAATAATTTCATACAAGCTTTTTACGTAGGACACCTTTTGACTGGGATGTGTTACCCTTAAATAGGGTTCGACATTCTCGCTCTCCTGGAACATCTCTACAGCTGATCTCGTCTCATCACAATCCCAAGATTTCCGTCAAAATACGCCATCCCACAAATTGATTTGCCATCGACGAAATGAAAAACTGCTCTACTTGTATGCTGGATCTCGATCTTATTTATGAGGATGATCTATCGATATTCTCTCTGGAGGACACGATGGTAGCATCCATTGCTGGGGAACATGAAAATCAACAAGAAGAAAGGCCAACCAAAAGTGATCATCGTCCTGACGACGGTGGTGTTCCTGGTCCTTCTACAGCCAATGTGCTGGATGGAGAGTGGAGCATTTCTTCAGATGCCATTCCTTTGCCAATTTCAAAGACTTCTCTTCCATCACTCGAAGCCTTTGATGAGGATGATGACTGGAGGAGCATGTCTTCGGATGCCACGACGGTTCCGCCTCTTTTGTCAACTACAACCTCCAAATCCAATCCTGACCAGAAGAAGCTTCCATCAATCGACGAAGGAACTGTCTACAAGCTCAGCAGGAAGATGCTGCGGTCTGCTCGATCGCGAGCGATGGTACTAAAAAATGTCTATCCTGATCTGAGGCGGAGGGGATTCAAACTTCCAGAAAAGAAGAACAAAAGTTTCTCGTGGAGCAACCACAAGATGTGTGCGCTGAAGAAGGCTAATCATCCATTGTACAAGAAGCCAAGCGACTTTCTCCGAGCATCGTTGAGGGGGTGAGGACGCCAACACAAAAAGCAAACAGATTATACATACTAGTAGACTAGAAACAGTTCAAAAATATGAGAGAAAAATAACAAATTTGTTGAAATAGAGCTATCTGCTTTAGGACGTGAGCCCATGGTCACTGGAAGAAAGACTATACTATTCGAACTTAACATGAACGAGTCAGTCATTTTTAAGCATTGCTATGGTACAGTAAGTATACGTAGCGCGACGCCAACGTACACGGACGTGTACACGTGTACAAAGCACGAACGCGTGCGTGGCGTACACATGTCCCTGCAACACAGGGAGGTCCTGCTGAACACCGCCTGTATGTCGTACGTTTCCCTCCACGACTGGGTCAATATTGAAACTAGCATAACGGTTTTTTCGCCAGCGTAGCATTTTCCGAGCATGCAGATA